GTTAAGCGGTAGGATCTCAAATATGCCCATTTAAATTTAAATAAGTGCTTATGAAGCATGTTTGGGGTGTTTGGGTAATTTTTATAAAATCCTGATTAGATCGTGATTTTAACCTGCTACCGCACTTTTAGGATAAGCAACAAGAAGTATCTTGTGCGTTTGAAAAATCCCGATGAATCTTCAGCAACTAAATTTTCTCCAAGCTACCCCTCCTTCTAACGGTAATTATTTTAATTTTTTGTAAAACATACAACATGAAACTATTTTTCTTTTAATTTTATCTAAAAGACATTTTTAAAAAAATCAGATAACAAATGACATATGATTGAAACAATGCAATCAAATATTCAGGTAATATTCTGATTCGAGGAGCATCCTTAAATTAAGAAAATAATGATGACTAATAATTTTTCAGCTTATTTTTATATAAAGGGAGTATATGGGGTCTTTTATTTAATATTTGTACTACACATAAATTGCTAAGTGATTTTAAATAATAATAATTTTTAAATAAAAATAATATTTAAATATTCATGTCATTTATTAAATTATATTTAATAAAATTTATTATTAAATATAATAATTATGAAAATGTAAATAACTTTATTAACTTCATGCCCTTTTTAGTAATTATAGACCCATAAGTGATGTTAATAAATGAAAACCAAACATAATCACAATTCTTAAAATTACTTATAAAAAAAATATCCAAACAAAAATCACGATTAACCAGTGTCACTTATAGCTAGTGTCACTTATAAAATTCACGATTATTTAAAATTACAGTTGTTCACTACTAATTCAAACAGGCACCTAATCTTTCACAATATAGTGAACCAAGATTTGAATTCTCTGTTGAAAGAAGTGTCATCATATTTAGTATTTAATACTCTTTTTATCCTAAATATAAAACCCATTTTCTAGTGTAATTTATACTACAAAATGATTTTTACATTTAAAACAGAGAGAGTAGCATTTTAAATGGAGTTGTTTTTAATAAAAGAATACCTAGGTCCAGCCAAAAAAAAAAAAAAACACAAACGCGGCATTTGGTTTGCTTTCGGACCTTCAAATGTCAGAGGCCGACACAAAAAGCAAACATGAGTTTTGCTTCGAGCTTTTTGTTTTTTGGTATAAGTTTTGCTTCTGCTTTTAGTCCATCTAATTGTGAATCGTGAGCGGCCCAAAATCAATTAGCACGTGTTTGCCAAGAAATTAGGTTTCATTTTAATTTTAATTTGAGGCCTTGCATTACCAAAAAAAAAATTTGAGGCCTTGCGCCTCTTGGCGCCTGCTTCACGTGGTTCGCTTCTCTAATCTCCCAGGAAGAAAAAAAAAGCCTCTTCCAGGAAGTCTACGCAGTCTGCGACTTTATCGTCCATTATGCTCACACACGCAAGCCTTCTTACCAGTTACCAACTAATTACTCAGAGAGCCACCTATGTATCACCCCAAAACTTCACCTTCTTGAATGTACTGAAAGTTACCCTTAGAATATTTTTGTGTGAACTGAGGGTTGGCATTTAGAATATTTTTATTAATCATGAGTATTAACTAGAATTACTATTTGATGAAATTTTTAACATATAAAACTATTATAAGGGGCTACTTAAAAAAAAGATATATATAATGGGAAATAAAATACGAACAAGAAATAATGTTATCTATGGAGTTGTGGTTGAAGAAAGGAGCACGATGACAAAAGTAGAAACCAACGAGGAAAGCAGAAAAGGCAGTACCAAAACCTACGCATTCTTGTTCTGCTTGATTAATATAGTTCAAATTCTGTTTTTTTTTTTGGCCAAGTTATATATATATTTTTAAATGCAACTTAGAGTATTTTCAAATTATTTTGGGTTTAAAACTAACCTGTATCAGGCTGAGAGTGTTGATGTTAAAATCTTTCTAACAAATATATATTTTTAAATTTGAATCTGTGTTCTTCTTTTTATGAAAATAAGACCATTTACCATATTAACTAACAGATTGTTGGTGGTCAAGTTATATTTCAAATAGGTGAGCAATGTGCAAAAGCCTCTTAAAAATACTTTAACCAACACCTCACATGAAACCATACTTATAGGGAATAGATCTATAGATTAGTACAGCTGATTATCTTTCTAAATTAGTGTATAGCACGTATAATTTAGGAAAAATTACACTCAGGTCTCATATAAGACAATTAATTTAGAAAAAGTCTCTCAAAATCTTAAAATAATTATTAAGTCCCCAGAGACTTGTATGTAATAAATTCTAATTATAAAATTACCTATTTACCCCTATTAATTTGAACCTATTACAATTTATTTACAACCTGACTTGACATATATGTTGTCAACAACCCGAACCAAATTTAATTGTGAAAGACGAAATTTTTAATATGGGTTTCTCACGATTTTATCTCGCGTCCATGTATTCGGAACATGAGAGAATCATCGTGGCGTAATAATTAACCGTGCACGTCAAGGAAACAAGTTCGATGACGATAACAACAAAGGAATTTCCCACGTTTACTTTTTTTAGAAGCTATCGGTCCACATGAGAGGTATACAATTAATTTATCAATATAAAAAATTAGTTATTTTAATTATTTATTGGGTGTTTCATTATCCTCAAGAAGGAATTTTAAGAAGTATTTTCATGTAATTTGAGACAAAACTCTTTTCACATACTTATTTTGTGTTTAAAAATTACTTTTTAAACAATAATTTTGTTTCCACCCAAACACTCTCATAATAAAAGTGGATTAATTTTCTTCAACTATCCTATTTAATTATTACTTCTATTGATAAATTTCTTTTAATATATGCAATTAATATAGAGAATTTGAAAAAAGAATTGAGATAAAATAAATTGAGAAGTTATATTTAAAATTAAAAGTAAAGCCAACTTTTCAATTAGTTTTTATAACAAGTTATTAGCCAACAATATCCTATCTCATTCAGTTACCTCTTCCGTATTGAAGCAATCTTCCTTCAATTAATTTAAAAACAAAATTTTTTGTGTCGACGTTGTAATTCCAAAATACATTATCCACTCCATAATTGATCTTTTTATTAAATTTTGACCCTTTTAATTAGGAAGAGACGACTGTCTCGTGGCCCATAAAAAATTGCAAAGAGACGGCAGCTTCGTACAAGACAAGACTAATAATATTAATTAATTTCAATTATTGGTAATCTTGCTGTTTTAAATTTGTTTTGGCAAATACGTCCCTTTCTCCTGAAGAGAGACCATGGGAATCTGATGTTTATAATTTGATTGGCTCCTCTCTTGCCTGGGCCTGTGGCCACCTTGGTATTTGCAACTTCATTAGCATTGGCTTTAGCTTTGAGGATTTTCAACGCCTTTGATTTTAACGACGCGGATAAGGTGATGCGTGAGGATAAAATATAATATTCCTCCGTTATTAATATAAAATTTAATTATTAAATTAATTTTGATTATAAATATAAGGCTTATTTATTATATTTATTAATTTTTTTAAACTATCCTCATAGATATCTCTTCAACTATAATTAAGTACAAGAGGGAATGGGAATATTAAGAAAGATGATTATAATATTTTAGGAAAAACATGTTATATTTTTTTATAATTAACTAACTTATCTAGCTTTCTTAATCTAATCAAATTAGTTAAATAGGTTTTATATTAAAGATCGGAAGAGTATAATTTATTACTATAACATTTTCATTTTTTTTGGCAACAATCATAAATTTTATATTTAATATTAATATCCTTTATTCGTTATTATTTTTTTTATAAAATAATTAAGATTAATATTATTGTTGCAGTGATCAAATTTTGGTTTTGACGTTGCAAATCATTAGCTTAGAAGTCTGAGTTTGAGTTTAAGTATGAGAACTAAAATCTTTCATTAAAAATATAGAGACAACTAATAAAACTGAAACCAAATACTTTTAAAACTATAAGAATCAAAACTAAAATTTGATCAAAGCACAAGAAGCGATTAACAACAGTAGTAACCCAAATAATTATTACATATAAATAAATGATTAAAATACACTAACATCTTTTTATTTTATGTAAATTACGGACGTTTCTTTTTAGTGCTATAAAAATCTCTCTTAAAATTAAAAAATAATAATAAACGTAATAAAAATTGAGGAAATTAACATTCCGTTATTGGCCGTACCATCATGAGAAAGAAAAAAAACTTTCTAAGAAGTCTCCTTTCTCGTTGTTTGTTTGCGTGTTTGTTAGGTGCGGAGGAGCTTGAGAGCTACCCGTTTGGCTTTTTTCATGAGTAACATCTTATGTAAATTATAACTAACAGTATTATTACTTTTCATATAAAAATAACAAAAAACTTTGCCAAAAAATTTTAAAAAAATTATAGTCCTCAAAGAATCTAATCTGATCTGATCTAATCTAATCTAATCACGAAAAATACTGATCTTGGCCCACCCACCTATGATCCATCAAGAATCAATAATGGCTATAGGGCATAAGCATACATGTTTGCCCTTTTCTAATCAGATACCTCCTCCACTAACAGCATCCACTTCCATACCTTTATCACCACTTTCTTTTCTTTTTTTAATCAACAGCACTTGCAATATTGAGATGAAGTCTCAAATTTAAGCCAAATTTAAATTATAAAAACTAAAGTGCATGAGTTGAAATTCTGAAAAAAAAAAAATTCACTTGTATAGAGTTAAATTTTAGAAATTAACTCACAGTTAATTAAAAACTATAAAAAATTATTTATTTCCCCAAAAAAACTTTGAATTTTTTTTAATTTTATTTTCGTTTCTTTGTGTTCTTCACAAAAAATGGTATGCATTGTTGATATTTCTTAGGTACACTCTTAATTAATTCCTATTTTAATTAATCAATCTATAATTAATTATATAATCTATTTATGATTTCTGATAAAGATTTTAAAATGAGATTATATTTCAAACCATTATTTTTGTCGCATATGTGATTGTTTATTGTTTATCTTTGTAATTTTATCAACGGGGAGCTTCCGGTGTGGTGCCGGACGAAAGCGCATCTTTTTATTCCACCCCGATTCTGCTCAGTGTCTCAGTATTCAATTATTCATCTTTATCAGTTACCTTCACAGGCATTGAATCCCATGCTCTGATTTCTATTTCTAGAATCCAAAAGGAGCTAAATTGTTCCTTTTTTCCTTAGAATTACTAGCTCGTGTAGAAATTCGAAGGATCAAACGCCGACGACTTGGGAAGTTGACGCACTTCACGACAATCCAATACAGAGTCTGAGAGATTCCTTTGATACATCATCATTTACAGCTTCTCTTTTCTGCTCTGCGTATTCAGCTGCCGTGCATTCATCCAAGATGAGTTCCGTCGTTCAGGTAACTTCATCCTACGTTCCACCCCTGAATTTGATTTCCTTTCGCCTTTTGATTTGGCCCCTGATTCTGTTTTTCTTTCCTGGGTTAGGGTTTCACCAAGTCTCTGGCTATGACTGTGCTCTCTGAAATCGGGGACAAAACATTTTTCGCTGCTGCGGTTAGTTTTTTGAGGGAAAATTTATGTTTGTTCTTCTTCATTGTTTGATCTTATATACTTTTTTGTTGCTTGCAACTAAAGTTGAAAACTGTATTTAGAGGCATATGAAAACTTTGGCTTATAATATTCACTGGTTTCGCTGCTGGCGATTTGTTGTGCAAGTCAACATATATGTTCTTATTTTCTTTAAAGCTCGTTTGAAGGGCGCAATTTTTTTTTTTTTTAATATTGGCAGTGGACAACATGTAAGACCAAGTACTCAGGATTGATGGGTTGGATACTTTGGGTCAGTATATGTTGGAGATTAGCATGTTATCATCGACTAGAATACCCAGAGATATTGCTCTCTTCGCCTTCTTTCTTTATTTCATTCTTCTTCTTCTTCTTCTCCCCACTTCTGTTGAGTCTTTTCCTGCAATTCTGTGTTTGATATTTGACAAGGAACTGCTAAAGTCTTAACAAATTCTTCTATCCCCATGAATTTATTTTGAATTAGCAATTAGTCGCTGTGCTGTCCTAAGTTTATTTGAGCGGTTCATTCTCAATTGCTGTAGTACTTAGCATGATGAAGTTAGTCTGACATGTTATGTTGTATTATTTGCCCCCTTCTTATACATAGTCGTTGACCAAAGAAGAAAAAGTGCTGCTTGTTTCTTTGTATGGTCTAGAGAACTAAATATCATAACTCTGACTATCTGATACGTTAATGCTTATTTCTAGATCCTGGCTATGCGTTACCCCAGACGGCTTGTTTTGTCAGGTTGCCTATCAGCTTTGATTGTAAGAATTTCTTTTCTCCCTATTTGGTTCACAGCTATCTTTCTGTTTTTGTTACAATTAATAGCTTATTACGTCAAATATGGTATTGTCTTCAAATCTAAACTTCTCAAGGAAATTTGAAACATTTAGGTCATGACCATTCTATCTGCTCTTGTCGGATGGGCTGCTCCAAATCTGGTAAGCATTCTTTGTTGCTTGTGAAACTTGACAATTCTTCTCATTGTTCTGTGTGTTGATTGATAGAATGAATATGCAAGTAGTTAACTCAGGTGTTTAGCTTGAATGCATTACAAAGTCTTCCAATCCACCGGATGAATAGACAAAAGAGGAGCAATCATCTAATATGTGTTGAGTCATTGAATTAAAATGTATTGTTTTGTTGAATTAGCAATCTGTTCTGGTCTGCTTCCCTCAAAGCTAGGTCTAACTTGGTGATTGAACTTTGATATTGATGGAGTGTCTGCTGCAAGACTGCTCAAATAATTATTAGTGAAGTTCCATTTTTAAGTGAACATGCATGGGAGGTGAAGTGTAATTATATATACGAAGATTATGTAGCAAGCTCTTGTTTAGGCATGCTGCATTTTTCTTTGGTTCTTGCACATATTGATTGTTATGTAATTCTGCAGATTTCTCGTAAATGGGCTCATCACATAACGACATTGCTGTTCTTTGGTTTTGGGCTATGGTCCTTGAAGGATGCAATATTTGAAGAAGGGTGATGATTATTATCTTGGACATTCAATTGCTGGTCCTTTTCTTTTGAAAGCAAGTTCTCATCTGCATTGATACTTTGTTTACTGATGCTGGATTATTTCACTGAACAGGGAGTCTGAAGAACTGGCTGAAGTTGAAGCGAAATTGGTCTGTCACATTTTTATTTGATTTCTTATTTTAACTCCAGTCTTTATTTACCTTTTGACATCATCCTTGTATTGTGATTAGGATGCGGATTACAAGGCTAATGGGGGGTCCACAAAAGATAGCAGTAAGGTATGGCAATAATAATCATCCTGAAGTTTTGCTTTTTCCCCCCTCTGCCCTATTAAGGCATACCTATTGGTCGTGCTAACAAATACCCATGTAACCAACACGGGCACACATATTGGACACAACATGATATGATACATAAGATATGACAGTTTCTAAAATTTTAGAATATAGGGACAGGGGGTATATATACATGTATATAATTATTTGTGTAACCAATATAACATCTCATTAAAAGGAAAAATCGGTATTAAATATTCTAAACATTGTAGTATACATGTTAAAACAAACCACATGCATGAATAAATTTTCTATAACATCTTATAAATAAACCACAGTTTGTTTTTCCATCGTAACATAAAAACATGATTGGACAAAATCATTGTATGAGCCCCTTACAAAGGTGAGCTTTGCCTTACCTTCATAAGGGTCCTATTTTACTCTTAAATTTTGGAGCATTGTTGATGGATGTAAAGCAGTATTAGTATCTATAAGTATCTATATGTGCATGACTAGTTTTTTAAAGTATTGAATGCTAGACAAGTACGTGGTCTAAATTTTTGATTGTTTGCTGGATTCATTAGGTTATTATCATGTGTCATCTCACGTCATGTAGGTAAAATATGTAGTTATGAACTTATGGGTAACAGAGGTGGGAGGCCTTGATCCTTTACAATCAACAATGAATATTGCTCAAAGCTTTATAGGAAAAGCTTTAATACCAATTTGTCGATGATGAAATCTCCTTACTGTAATTGAGGGGATTTCCATCAAGACTGGAGTTTTATGGAGTAGATATTATTTTGGTTAAGTGCAGAAATGCATAGCCATGCTCCTCTGATGCATTATGACACAATCCATGCCAAACTGTTGTGTAGATATCTTTGAATTGGAACAAAGAGTTTTCTAGTTGGTATTTCAAGAATCATTTGCTTTTAGAACTGATTTGTCAGATAATGTATTCGGTGTTCTAGATAATGCTCACTTTATGTTCCCCACTTCTCATTTCCAGGTTAATGATGACTTGAAAAAGCATAAACGGCCCCTTTTCACTCAGTTTTTCTCCCCCATATTTTTAAAGGTAGTAATTGCATTTCCTCTAAAGATTATTTTTCTAATTGCCCACCTTTCCATATGATTCACATTATCATGTCCATAATGCAGGCATTTTCTATCAACTTTTTCGGTGAGTGGGGTGACAAGAGCCAGGTTAGTATTTTTTCGCATATATTTGTTTTTTCCATGACTAGAGACTTTGGTTCCGCACTTAACATCAGTTCATTCTGTTTCAGCTGGCTACCATTGGTTTGGCCGCTGAAGAGAATCCATTTGGTGTGGTTCTTGGTGGCATTGTGTAAGCTTTTACTATACTATCTTCGAGAATTATAGTCATTCTAATATACCTGCATGCATATGCATATATATGTATATGTATATCAGGAATTTTTTGGGCCAATGTTCGTATGTTAATTCAGTGGTTTCTTTCCTGAACTTCTGCATACACACTAGCATATATGCATACTTGCACATGCAATGTTCTTGCCTGGAACCATACACGTGGCTGCAGGATGTTTCACATGCCTAAAATCCAGCAACTACTTGGGAGAGAACCTTAATTTTCTAGTTTTCCTTTTTTCAGTGGACAGGCGTTTTGCACTGCTGCTGCTGTTGTTGGAGGAAAGAGTTTGGCATCTCAAATATCTGAAAAAATGGTAATGCATTTTATTTTATTGTTCCTTGTCTCCCGCTTTTACCTATGCATGATATGTTGCCCACATGCCATGTTCCCCCCCTTTATGGTTGGTATCTCTTTTCTTTGGGGAAGCTCATGGATTAAGTTTACATTATAACTTCTCCAAAATGGGTCAATATAAGTTTTAGACTACCAACAAACCAACGAGAAAAGTAAGAATTGTGGATTGAGTAAGATCTATTTACCTTCTAAGAGATTATGAGTGTATCTAAACGGCGAGTTGGTGGAATGAGTTTTATTTTCTGTATTTATGCCTTTATATTATTATGTATGACTGGTATAGTAGTAACATTATACTTTATGCCTCGCAGATTGCACTCTCAGGTGGAATTCTTTTCATTGTATTCGGTATCCAGTCATTCCTCACTCCAATTGAATGATGAAGACGGCTGTGCTATTGGTCGGTTTATCACACACACTGTATGTGGCAATGAGGTTGGCTGCCTGAAGAATTCAACTTGTTGCCTTAGGTATTGTGGGGGTAAAGGTTGTTTTTTGACCCTTCCATATAATTTATGGGTTAAAATCAAATAAGCATGGCTGGACAGGCTCTGAATTCATTGTTCTAAGTTTAGATAAGTGGATTATTTTTCTTTTTAATTGTAGAACTACTTTTCATTTTTGTCTTCCTCCCTCCATCGCGAGGAATCAAAGAACCAAATTAGAAGGATAAAAGGATTAACTTTAACTACCTAGAATATTAAATACATGAGCACCCGTCTTTCCCTTTTTTTTTTTGGTGGGGCAGACCCAAATAAACTACAAGAAAACTGAAGGCCATCCACTTGAGTAGGATTATAATTGGCCAACCAATCCGCACTAATGTTTGCTTTCAGTTTGAAGCCCACAAAAGTCAGGCTCAACAAGTCTCCCTTTGTTTTTCTTATCTCTCTATTACTCTGGTCTCTCTCTAACTCTGCACCCTCTCTTTCGTCGTTCCAAACGAAACTTGGACGGCTATCCTACCTGTGACTCCGAATTCCAAGTTTACGGAAATTCATATTTTCAGATTCATATCTTAAAACTTTGCCAAAAATTACCATATATGTATGTGTCTGTGTACCTTTTTTTTTTTCCTTTGGCTAAAGCATAGGTATCCTCCTATTGGAGGCAATCGTATTCGAAGTACTGTCAGGCACTAAACGTGGGTACCTCTCCGAGTGGGGATTCAAATTTTGGTTCGTCACGTTGTGAGAGACTAGTCCCTTCTGCTAAATTCAACCCCGTTGGTCTGTGTACATATATTTGTATATATGCATATGCGCACCTCCCTCATCCCCCGTCCTTCTAATTCTATAATCATCCCAAGCCCTAGAAAATAGAATTCTTATAACTTGGTGGCTTATTACGTATAATTTGTAAGAAATTACATTTGATCCTTTTACGAAAAATGCATCAGTTTATAATAATAATTCTTGTCAATGAGAATAATAATTAGTCTATTTTTATGGATAGTATCCGTATTAGTTACGATATTTTATTAAATAATCTTACTGCATGTAGAATTGTTTCAAAAAACTCATGATAAAATAGTTAAACTAATTTAAACAAATTTAGAAGTTCTCTGTGTCCATGTTTCTGGAATGCTATTCAATATATACAATGCAAATAAAAGAAACAAAAGTTATGTAATTAAAACGAGTAATGAAAATTAAACTCACAAGATAATTATGCACAACTATTATACGAGTTACTAGACGCAGGTACAAAAGAAATACACGAACTCGTTTTCTACTGACAACACAACGGCACATTCGTACAACTGGCATTACCCAAACAAGTCCTATTCACAGAAACTAAAGACAAAGCAGAGACTCATTGTGGTCACCTACGTTAACAACACCAAGTAACCACATTTCTGATACGGAAGTTGTGAAATTTTTTATTGAAAGACACAACCATCCCTTATAATTCACAGGATGACCATACCTTTTCTCCTTTTCTTTGTTCTTGTAACGTTCATGAGGACAAATTTATGTACACAGACTAAAATCTGGAAATTTTGCTTTTCAACAACATAGAACATAATCAGATTTACAAAGAGGCCAATGATTAGCACCCACCACTTGCAGGTTCAATTGAACTCAGCAGGCCATTGCCTCTTAGCTGCATGCAGTGTTCTTCAGCATCAGCTTGGGCACAGATAATGACCACTGACAATCCATTGTAGTGAGCATCTAGCATGATGTCATATGCATTATCAAGGGTCATGCCAGGAATGACCTTCATCAATACTTGTACAACGTATTCCCTTCTGTTGAAGTCATCATTGTGCAATATTACTCGATATGGCGGCGCTAATTTCCGTGATTTCCTGCATGTCTTGGGAAACCAGAATTAAATATTTTCTTTCACTCTCACAAATTTTTTTATACATGAAGTACAAATATAGGACCTTAATAACAAAATTATTAATGATAGTTAACAACCTTCATCTTTTCAAGAATCATACTCCTTTTCCAAACCTCCCCTATTCAATTTTATTGGCAGAAGTAACATAATAGATCTAGTCTATTTACTCACCCAGCTTTACATAAATTGAACAAGGATATATTTGGTAATGGCTAATAAACACTGCAGCGTACTTCGTAAAGCGTTGGCCAAAAGAAAAGCTGAAAAAGAGTAGACTTGGGACCAAAGGGAGTAACACTCCCTCCGGATTTTTTTTTTTTTTGGGTAATCAAATGAAAGTATTTCTTTGGACTTGAATATAAGAAACAACTACCTATTATTCCTTATATTAATTGAAAATTTCCTGTATCACCCTCATCAATTAAGTCAACATCGTTATATAACCATTATATGAAGCAACTGATAAGGGCATTTTGGGAAAAAAGGAAGATCATAAACATATTTATTGCTTTTCACTGTATTCTTTGGTTTGTGCAACTTGATTACTAGTATCTAGAGGAGTGATAGATAAATATGCAAAGTTAATATGCTAAAAGCTAACCACTAGCACAATCAAACAAAATAACAGCTGACCCCCGAGCATAGAACCAAGAGAGAAAACTCTAAAACTTAACTCAGTAATCTGATTTATGAATTCAAGTGTCAACAAAGAGAAAACGCATGAAACCAAAGCAATATTATAAATATGCAGGCTGCAGAAGTCTAACATGAGTAGAACTCATCAGAACAAGAAAAAAATGACCAAACAACCCAAAATAAAAATATTGATTAGAAAACCCTCTAGATTAAAAAAAAAAAAAAAACCAAACAAACAATAACTAACTACAGAACGATCTGCATAATTCACTATAGGATCCCTCTAGACTGTTATATTAGGAAGGTTAGGCAAAAACAGCTATTCAATTTTTCCAAGCGACACTCCTAATAGTGTTTAAAATTAAAGGGGCTAAAGAAGCAAGTGATACGCATTACACGATATAAAATAATACATATTTGGCATGATTTAATCAAATAATATCTCCATTCTTCCACAAGACAGTTTTACCAGCATCTAGACTAGCTTTTATAGCAAACGATTGCATACCTTAAATTCCTGTTCCTATTAAAAGTGACAATATTGGAAGAACTCACAACAGCTTCCTGTTATTAAACCATGGCACTTCCTATATATCTTCCTTTCATCCAATGGTTTTAGATTGCAAACGCAATCCCCTAACACTTGTAATTAATACAGTCAAGTTGTAAAACCAAGTCAGCCCAATCAAAGAATTTTAATGTGAAGCTTTCCACATCAAAATTGCTCTATACCTCAGGTCAAATTCAGATTCACGGCCAGGAGTTCCTTTTTCAATAACTGGCTTCTCCAGCAGTCCTCCTCCTCTGCCTGGTCCTGTTGCTAATACAGCCATGGGAATGCAAAGATTGGAGCATGGTCCTCTGCAAGAAGAATATTTGTCCCCTGTATTGTGAATTTTTCTTCAGTAAGTGTTCTTGGAGCACTCAATCATACACAGAAGAGTTCAAGATTTTATGTTTACCAAAAGAGAGGGTCAGCATACTAGTATTACACAAATATAAGCAAATTAAGTATGACTCTTGATGCATCTCCCCTCTAACACAAATGAGAGATGCTTGTCACTTATCTGCTACTTTTATCCATGTTTTGTTACTTAATTGCCGCTAGAATCATGCTTTAATTTTCCAAACACCAATTCTCTTGCTGATTCTTTTAGTAGAAAAATTCGCAAACAGAAACAGAAATCTCCAGAAAGAAAATCTACCTCTGCCCAAGTCCTAAAGTTGAAGTGGTTTCTTAGCATTTATTCCCAGAAAAATAATCCATTGATTTGACAACCGCATGAAATGATCAGACACTCGATCTCATATTCTCATTGTAGAAGCTAACACAGATTTTCGATTCTTGATGGAATAGCTTTAGTGGCCTGTTTGGTATGGCGAGATAAACAGAATACCTTTCTAGCGCAAAAAACGAGAATGTTTATTATGTCATTATTATGCTAACCAATGTTTTGATTCTTTCTGATCACTTTTCCACAATAGAAGCACGCATATTATCTACACGGCATGAAAACATATTCTTTTTAAGTTTTATTTCTTTACGTTCCGAGTACGGGATGAGCAGTTGTTCCTGACTCATTTCTAGTTCAGTAAGGAATTTGACATCTGCGTATAAGTATAGATTTTTATGTAATCATAATTCTGGAAAAGGGAGGAAAATATGGAAATTGGAGAAACAAGAAAAAATCAGTGAAAGTTGTCAATCCAATTTTCTGAGATTCTGCATATGTTGCTCTATCTTCAGAGCTTATAGATTAAATTAAAACAATGGAGAGCCACTCGTATTGATGAATTGAAGCTTCCGAAGTGCTCCTGTTGGATTGCAACTTAATACTCGGTAGCCAATTAAAAAACAAACAAACAAACTTCCCAGCGAAAACGTTCCAGAAGAGAAAAATAAAAATCACGTATGGGGATAAATAAGATCAGCAGGAGTAATTAATGAAAACGCCAGAAAATTTGCAGGAATCGTGATAGAGAAGCTCGAAATGAAAGAGTAACAGAATAGAGTAGAAGTCAAAATATTCGGAGAAGAAAGGCAAAAATGGGAGCGAGAAGAGAAATGAAGAAAGTACCAGGCTTAGAATTGAAGACGTGGTTGGGAGAGAGAGCAAATCTCCCACACATCGCACTCTCCATCTCCCTCCCCCTATCTCTCTATCTCTTCTATGCCTCTGGTGGAGATTTTTGGTTTTCAGTTCACCTGCATATAAAGAGAGGAAGGGGGCAAAACAAAAAAAGAAACCTGACACGTGCCTCCTAATCTCTCTTTTTCTCCTCCATTTTTTTGAGTGAAATGTGTCCTAGACTGTGTTTGTTGATCCTTCCTTCCAATGGGGTTGTAACTTATAAGGTGAATTTGAAATAGCTCATAACTAATTTTTTATTCATGATTTACAGAATATGATAAGTACATAAAAAGAGCTTTGTGTGTTGACTTATATAAAAGGCGTTTATAAATAATTTGAAACATTATCTCAATAAGTCCCAAAATTTAATGAGTCAATTGGTGGTAGTAAACTAACAATAAAATTGAATAAAATGGATGTAGAATCTCTGTAATTTTACCAATAAATGATGGGTTAAGTGACAAAATAAGATGTAATACACTTTAAAGAATTATCTTAAATCTTTTTTTAGTAGTATAAGATGCTTAAATATCCTGACTGATCAAACAATATAATTTAACAATCAAATTTAATGGCAAAAAATATAATATTTTTACTATGAGAACAAACTTAAATTACATCTTTAATTTTCGGATGAGAAATGAAGAAAAAAACCATCTACAGGAAAGGCCAAATACCGGATGTGGATGATTTACTGCGGGGGAAAAATCTCTAATCTTAGTACTATTAAAAAGGTGTATTTTGTTCAATAACTTTGTGCAAAAAAAAAAAAAAAAGAAGAAGAATCGTAATTCAACGATTTGAACTTTTCAGATTTTTTTTATTACTGGCACAAAATGGCACTATCTTTTGGATAGTCGTTTTCTTCTGATTTCATAATATTATGTATCATTACACTTAATTATTAATAATTATAATTATAGATTCCCTTAATATTTGCTGCAATGATAAATTTTTAATTGACTGTTTTAAATTCAACGTGTAATTATAAATAAATATTAACTTGCTCAATTTTAAATATTAAGCTATGAAATTTAACAGTGCCCTTTTTTCACACATCGGTTCCAGCAAATGCTAAACCAGCTTTAACCACCTCTCCCATGCAAGGAGATTGCTTTGCCAGGCACCAAATGCCTTGAATAATTTCTTTACCGATTTAGTTTCAAAAACATATTTATCACCCAAATACGCGCATATAAACATGGGGAAGGGTGACATGCCACAGCATCTAGCTAGCAAACTTCCATTTAGTTATTAACATTCTAACGGTAGTGTTTCCTGCATAAATCTTCATGGTTCATCGGCAAAAGACATCATCCCAAGACTATACCATTGCAATCTGAAATTGAACCTAACACTATCAATGCCAAGGGCCCAATGCTTCAAATAACATTAAGCTAAAGACTCGTAGATCGTTACTCTAATAGATTATTGGGGAACTAAATGCAAAACTAAGCTAACTCATGAATCCACCTCCACCCATGTTGGGTGCACCTTGCGATGATACCTGTCCCTGAGACACCAGTTGTGACCGTCCTGAACCTTGAACGTACGCCGCTTGACTCATTCCTGCACCAACCAATTGCTGTTGCTGAGGAATCTGCTGCTGATGTTGCAATTGCTGAAGCTGAGGAAGCTGCTGCTGCTGCTGCAGCTGCGGGAGTTGCTGCTGCTGCTGAAGCTGCGGGAGTTGCTGCTGCTGCAGCTGGGAGAGTTGTTGCTGCTGCACCGGAGGAAGTTGCTGCTGCTGTGGTTGTTGCAGCTGAGGAAGTTGCTGTTGCTGCATGTGGGCAACCTGCTGTGGCTGCTGTTGTTGCATCTGTGTAAGATGCTGCTGCTGCTGCATCTGCTGGTGTTGCTGCTGCTGCTGCTGTTGCTGTTGCATTTGTTGCTGCTGCTGACTGGATAATTGTGGCTTAAATACCACCATGTCCTGTTTGTATAACAATTTTCAGAGAAATATTGGAAGCATGCATAAACAGATATCATTATGGTTTGGAACTTCAAAAAATTGGGTTTGTTGAGGAGATTTAGAGTAGAATAGTTTCAGGTTGACTTTAACCTCCAAGGGAAGGTAGAAGTTTAGGTTGCACAAGTACAGTTACAAGTATCCTACCCTTGCGTGAATGGGGATTTAACAATTCTCTTTCAAAATATAAGGTGCAAGTATAGTAATAGTCCCTCCAATTGAAAATATGAACATCAAATAACTAATTCATGCAATGAAAAAAGTTAGTTAAAATTGGTTAAAGACAATAAATATGTAAAACAATGCAATTTACTTTCCTAAAACACCCTCATTTATGAAGAGGGTAAGTGGAAGAGAGAATGAGTGGGAAAAGAGAGAATGAATGAAAAAAGAGATGAAAGAGACAAATAATTAATTAGGGGTACAAATGGAAAAAATGCATTAAATGATTAGACAAATTCAAGGTGATGCTCATTATTTAAAAAAAAAAAAAAAAATTAAGCCCCTCCAAAGATTTGATGCTTATATTTTGAACCAGAGGGAGTATTGCATAAATAAAGAATAATATACATAATACAACATGCCCACTACAATTAAAAATAGATAATGACCGTTCTGCATATATAATCAAACCAAAGCTCAATTGCCTGTTGATAGCGTCATGATTGTGTTGGCGTGAGAAACACGTTAGTCACATTAAATGTGTGAAAATAGGCGTGTCTAAGCCGTATAGTTTATTCATCCCCTGGGAAAGAGAAGAGTAGCCCAACTTCTAGACTTATTACAGCGTAAATAGCATTAAATGGAAGAGTCAACAACTAATTGAGGTGTACTTAGCTTGAACTCTCACAACAGTATAATAAACAGAATGTTGCATGCACCTTGAAGTTGGCATACTTCAAAGAAACTCAAACGCTTTTCACGTGTGAGCAAATTGATTGTGAAAGTAAGTGTGGATTTCATTTATCCCGGTTCCCACAAAAGGGAAGAAAATTTAATGCTCAAGAGGCTTGAGTTCAGAATTTCTCACCCCAGGAAAAAGCATCCCAATCAAGCGGCAGGCTTTATCAGAGACAGATAGTAGCAACGTCTGTGATGGTAATTGGATTACTGCACACTGTAATGGAAGAAGAAACATTCAGCACCAGACTAGGCTTACCAAACCAAGAAATATAACGGTTCAGCCATAAGGGCCATAATTTCAAGCACAAAAATAGTTCAAATTAAGCTGATGTTGATATTGTCACCTCTTATTTTTGTAGGATTGAGTTGGAGCACAGGTAAAATTATAGAGGATTGGAGAGCACTATTGAGCCTTCTCTCTTTCCCTTTGCTTCCTACGGTCGTTTTTACATCCTTTAATTGACCTAGGAGATTTTATTTTATGCCCCCTTTTTGTCCTGCTCTTCTTTTTCTTGTCAATTCTTCTTTACTTGCTCAAAAGAGAAACACAGGAAATGCTGCCCGTTTGTTTTGCACGAGTCTCATAAGCATACTGTGCCTATATTCTCCTAATTCAAGTTTACCATAATTATCTCCTATGCATGCAAACAAACAAAGAATACCCGCGAAACAAGTTCACAGCATATGCAGGCAGCAGGCACAAAATACACAACTGTTACAATCCTTCAATGGAACAGGTAAATTGTCCATTCTGATTCCGTGCCTTAAAAGTGGAGTTAGAAATAACAGAGGATAATTATACAAGTGTGATTTACAAATTTTGAGTGACTGGTTATATCTGGTAACAAAACCTCCTAGTTACTTGCTTATACAAATTTGGAACACATCGAATTGAAGACACCAACACATACTAGGACATCTTAGATATAAATTGAAACTTTTAAACACTTCGAAGATAACCTCATGCATACAGTCCTAGTTCCATGCGATTTAATCTTATATTTTCAGTGATGTGATTTTTTTTAATCTTCCAATTTAATTAATTGGAAATCCACACATTGCAAAAGCCACATTTTATCTTCTTTCTAGAACAAGGCTCGGTTATCAAGAAGCAACAATACTTTATTGACTAATAAGATTGTTATGTTATAGATTAGCAGAAGAAACTAAAGAAAAGGAAGAAATTAAGATGCACTGATAACTTACCAGCTTCTTTTCCTGAAGCTGAGCAAGAAATCCATGTGGGTTCATAGCCCGAAAAACTAGGAAATCTGCCTTTCCAACGTATTGCCTTGTGTCAAAGCATTGTCAAGTCAGAATATATACAGAATAATGCCTGGACCAATATAAAGCTACACACACTAAATAAGCAAGACCAAAGCTAAGCACAAAAAAAGAAGTTACTTGTTATTCATGTGATCTTGAGATATAAGACGAACTATTTGCATTGTTGGTGGCCAGTTCGATGCAAGCCTGGGACCCATAAAAAGCAGTCATTAGATTTTTTTAATTACTGCCAAGTTAGGCCAATATAGGTGACAATCTAAAGCCACTGATAGTGATTTAGACCAGGTAGACATTTAGGAAAATCCCACACTGCTTCAGCCATATTGGTATAATTTTGGAGCACATGATGTGTCATGATAAGTTGAATTTTTCATACCAGTCTTAAGGTAATTTATTATGAAGAAATGGGAGAAATTTCAACCTAAATAGTTATGATCACTTCCATATGCGCATAATACAAAATACTCATGCACACTTTGCTCCGTTAAAAGCATGTCCTGCCCATGTGAAAAATTATAGAACTTATAAAGGAAACCTTGAAATCGATTTCATAAATCACTAGAATTAAAACTCAAAGGGAGGTTGGAAGTTTGATCCTTGCTGTTCCAAGTATCCAAATTAAAGAATCTAGGAACTTATTGATTTCATAAATCAGTAGAATAAAAACTCAAAAGTGAGCTTCTCAAGATGCTTATTAATAATTGTTACCCAGTATTGAAAGTATGGTTCCGTGAATATAATCATCTAATGACTCAAAACTTCTGAAAAACCAATTAAGCCATCAAGGAAAGAGAAGTCAGTAATTTCTTTAATAAAGAGGCAGCTCAACAAACCAATGAGAAAAGAATATTGAGCCGACAGTTTTAGAAAGTCTAACCACTGACAATGATCCCTAGACTTCTACGAAGAAAGAATATGAGTTCCTGAACTTACGACTCAGAAGCTGAATAACTCCGATACCCCTGCCATGAAGAAAGTACTCATCAAATTAACACATGCCACAAACTTGGAGGAATTGCTGCTATTATGAAAGAGACTGAAAATGCACAAAATTAATGCAATGGTCAAGTAAGAAGAAGTAAGCCAGATAGTTTTTATCAAGCTTTGAGATGATACCTCTAGTCTGGTGATAAATACAGGCTGTCCTTGTCTTTGCCCAGATAAACTTCCCTGCATGAATAGCAACAATTAAAGATATAAAACTGATGCAAAAGCATGCGAGAATAACAATAAGGAATTTTCATGACCCGTGCTTTGTAGCAATTCCTACTTATCATTTGATGATCTACAGTTATTAATGGTTACAGCCACCGGACAACATAGAATTGATTTATAGAATTTTAGAAAACAAAGAGATAACTTCAATGAGATTAAAGCAGAATTGTAAGGATCTATTAGATTTAATGAACGCCAAATAGTATAAACAACTACAGCAGTAAGCATTTTGAGCAAATTCTTTCCTCGCCTCTTGCTTCTATCAGTGATATTATCCATTTCATAATGTCAAATATCCAGAATTTTTCAGAGATATCAGAGATTAAGGTAGTACGGGCTATGATCATTGCATCATGCGTGATAAATAAAAATTGAAAATTGTAGCAAAGCAAAAACGATATAATGCAACCTACAATACAAACATTTATGGTATGTAATTACTAAATAGTGATAATGAGAATCTAAAATCAATGTGGGCAAGAGTAAGGAGGACACAGCAGAGGATTTAGAAAGATAGAGATATAAGCTGCACTTGTCAAAAATATTCTCCTCAAGTTAAAGATACTAACAGGAAAACAAAGACATGATCCAACAAAATCTAATTGAAGAAACTATGGTCTCCCTTAGTGAACCATAACAGAAAAGGCAACCATTGCAATTAAAATGAAAACCACAGTTTGCAATAACAGTCTCGATTTGTCGGCCAAAAAAAAAAACAGTTAATTTGTCTAAGATAAACACTTCGTTTCATGTCAAATAACAGTTTAGAATTAGATGCCCGAAAATTGATTAGCAGTAATACTTCAAAAACATACTCCAATCACGCTAAACTCAAGAATAAGCCTTACAAGGGATAAGTGGCATAAATTATTCTTATCAAATCTAAAGAAACTGATGACAAATGCATGATGGTCAACTGATGCTGGACAAAATTCATTATAGAGAAGATGTTAGGATTTCACATTCCATGCCAATTATTTTAAAATTTTCTCAAGGAAAAAAGAAAATGCATGAAAGCCAAAGCTTGAGAGGCAGATTTACAGGGGTTAAAAAGGGATCAGGACAAACCTCCCAAACCTTCACATATTTTGATTGTGTAGATTGCATAGCACCTGAGGTCTGTTGTTGTAAAGGCATATTAGCTGCTGCATTATTCACACCAAGTGGTTGCATTCCCTGTTGTACTTGCTGAGACATTCCGGGAGTAGGAATCATTGTACCAGTCCCAGAAGAGACAACTGATGGACCAAGGCTACTCATCACATTTTGGTTCATGTTAACTCCACTTTGCACCATTTGGGCGCCGCCAATGTTTCCTTGGCTCATGGCTAACCCTGGCTGACCCATACTAACAGTACCTTGCAGATTTCCCAGTGGTTGTGAAATCCCAATATTTGAACTTCCAGACAAATTTGACGTGGCTGAAGTTAATGAACCAAGACCTGAGTTTGCTCCAACCTGCATGGAACCAGTGAGAGATCCAGAACTAGTTATTGAATTTATGCCTGACTGTCCTGATGAAAATACATTTTGAACAGCAGGTACAGAAGATGCCATTCCGCTGGATATCATGTTCGACATGTGCATAGCCACAGGAGTTTGACCCATTGACTGAAGTCCCATTGAGGTTCCTCCACTTAGCACCTGTCGTGCTTGAGAAAGATTGTTAAGAATGTTGACATTTGCTTGAGCAGGACCCACTGGGCGCAAGGGCTGTGACACTGACATCATGGGCTTTACATCCTGTGTATTTTCATTACTTGCCATAATATCTTGAGAAGCAGAAGACGGAGACGAAGTCTGCAAGCTTGGGACACCTTGACTAGGAGCACGTGGAACTGATGGCATATGAGGAAAAGTAGGTCCTGTAACCATGGAAGTAACAGGAACGGGCTCCTGAAGAGATATGATAAATCCGGGATCATTATGGGGGTAAAACAAATCAGTGCCAAATTTTAATAATATTTTCATACAAATTGAGGATCTTACCACTTTTATAGTAGCAGTGCCAATATTGCCCACAGAAATTGGTTGCCGGTTTGTGATAGATCCATTAACTAAAAATCCATAGAAAAAGCAGCAATATTAATGGAGCTTATAACAATTTTTAACCAACAGATAAAAGAAGAAATATGGTAAAATCAGAATTATTAGAATTTAAAAGAATTAATTGTATAGAGCTGTACATATCCAGCTCTGTATTATTTTTTATTTTCCTCAATCAGGTTTTCCCTTTTTATATTATGGGGGTTCCTCAATATATATTGTGAGATCAATAAAAATTATCTTCAGTGCAATGACTCATATGGCATTAGAGCATGAGACAAAAACCGAAGACGGTGATCCTTAAACAGGCATGGAGTTGAACTCCGGTGAGGAAGTTGCACACTTTAAAATGACTTCGGGCCTTGATGGCTCCTCCATGTCCAACTGGTGCCAAATTGGGGGTTCCATCATGGTGACTTCTATTCTTGAAGGGCCAGTGGTTCTGATCATACCACAGAAGCTAAACAACGAAAATTAGTTTGAGAGGGCCCAGGCAATAGAATTTGCAGTTGAAGATTGTGGAAAGGCTGGATATATCACTAGTGAAACACCCTTATCAGGGCATCGAAGATTCAGGCCATGCAATGCTGTCTTGGTTGGTGAATGTTATTATCCCAATGATAAAGAAGAGTCTTGGTTGGTGAATGTTATTATCCCAAGGATAAAGAAGAGCTTCATGTTTCTCCCAACTACAAATGAAATCTAGGATGTTGTTTGAGACTCCTATATTCAAGTCCTTTATATAGATAATGGCACAAAGTACTTTAACACCACCCTAGGAGAGTACCTAAACAAACAAGGAATTCTACATTAAAGTGCACATGCTTATAGCCCTCAACAAAATGTGTTAGGTACGAGAAGCAAACCCCAAAGTGGAGGGAGAGAACAAATGGGTGATGAGGAGGAGAGAATGCCACACCTTGATTTAAAACCTTAAAGCTCAAGTTTGTGGTCCCTATGCTATATTATATACTACCTCTGGTCTTAAATATAAGATTTACTTTGTAGAACAATTTGCACCACAAACTAAATCTTATATTTAGGACTAGGGGTAGTATTAATTAGTTCCCAACTTTATCAGATGTAAGACTTCCTACATCAA